GGACTGGTACCAGTGTTTATCACTGCATTGTTTCTCGGTGATAAAATGGGTATTCAGAGTTTGGTCTCTGTGGAAACTGGGTCAGCAGTTTGCTTATAGTATGACAGTGCATCCCAACCCAGCTGGTGAAATGTGTGAAATCCTGGGATGAGTCGTACTTAGTATCTCATTCATTAGCGCTGAAGAGCAGAAGTGGGGCTTTGTTCACCAGCGAGAAACTCAAATAGACAGCTCAACAGAAACTGACTTCTATGCAATATTAATGCTGTTTCCATTAAATCATTAAGACCCCATCTGTCCCTAATATAGCCTGCTGTAATCGGCATCCTAAGACACATTACATCAGAAGTATTTTTTCATTTCATTACAATATGATCTGATGAAGATAATTTACACGATGTACTTGTGATATTTGTTTACTCTGTTATCAGAGTGTAATTGGTTTGGAGTAACAAGCTATTTTAGTTATTTCTTAAAATTTATTACGGTTCCATCCAAGAAACGGCGACAGATCTCCTCAAAATATCAACAACTCTCAAAGGTACCCATTTCAGCATGATGAAGAGCATGATGAAGAGCATTTAAAACACCACCTACCTAATTACCAAACGGTTAATGGTGTAATAAATATAAATTTATGAATTTATAACTTTTTCCAGCATCATGTATTAAGTTCCATTGTACTGGAAATTAACATTTAATAGCCGCATTTTCGTAAGAATAAAATAAGGAAGAAAGGCAATTTTAAAATCTGGCTGCGCGCAGATGGTGCGAATTTACTGCGATTCCTTCATTTGCAAACTAGCTATGAATATATATGGTCGTTTAGGCGGGAATCCGAATACTGCGGTTTAGGCGTGGGATTTTTTGTTTTTTTTTCGCTACTTATTTTGTATGCAATTATTCCAATTGCCTCAATTTATTACCTCTATTTACTTTGTTACCGTAACATTTTAAACTTGCTCGTGTAATTCTTCATCTTACGCCTTTTTAAAAAAATTTAAGTAAAAGTTCTTTTCTGTGTGGACCTTTATTGAAGGGAATATGCCAGTGACATTTCATCACTGCCACCTGCATCATAGGAAAACTGCAGCTGGCTACCTATCTCTAGTTTACCCAAAGACTGTCTGATTTAAAACATTTAATGTCTTTTTTTTCTCAAACAAGATTAGTTGGTGACAAAGGAAAATAAAATCCTAGTCATAAATTCCCACCCGATGCAAATAAAATGTCCCAGCGACCGATCGATTATTCATGCCTGGGAAATAAAAGACTGCTGTCATATGCAGTGCCCATTGGAGCTTATTAATTGGTGAGAGAGTGAGGCGGGATGAGAGAGAGCGAGTTTGGAGAGCGAGTTAGAAGCGCGGCGAACGGGGTGAGCCGGAGAATGGGATTGAGTTGATATCCTCCGCGTTCCCCGTGCATATCAACCTGGTACTCGCTGGAGGACGCCCAGGCACGGATTCAGCACGAAGACTGTTCCCTCCACCACCGGTGAGCGATGACCACACACTGCCGCAAACATGAATACTGCTGCGCGTCAGTGGAGGGGGGTGCCGGGGGCACGGGGGCCACGGACGGCCGTCGCGGCATGACCCAGAGGCTCCTGCATTCTCAGTCCCACAATGCTCTGCTTCAGAAGCAGCCGGCCCACCACCAGCACCAGGCCCGTCACCACTCTCGACACCGGAACCAGAACCAGAACTCGCACCAGAACCACGAGCAGAGTCCCGACCAGTTTCAACACCGTCGTCACCAAGAGCAAGCAAGCCATCAGTCCCTGCAGAACTCGCACAGGCACTATAGCTCATGCACCTTGCCTGCCACGGCCAAAAGCAGAGGGAAGTTCACTAACCTCCGAGACAGTGTCAGAAAGAGCCCCACCAAAAGCACAGCCAAGGTCCAAGCCTCTAGCATTGGGTGGTCAGACTGCTCGTGGGCCACTCTTTCTTTGGAAAAGGTATGTCATGTGGCTGTGGAGCGTGCGTGGTTCAGTGCATCAGGTGGCTTAGAAAAAGAGGTGTGTGATGTGAAATATGTCAGAGATGTGCAACAGTGGATTTATGCAGTTCTTGTCTGGTCTTCATGGGAAGTGAGTGAGCTTGTGTGAGTCTGCTCTATATTCTAGTCACCACCAAGCTGGGAAAGCCTGAACACTGGTGAATACCAGGAAACACGCTCCTGTACGATGGTGTGTGTTCACTTTGCAACACTAAGTGGTTGGTTTTGCTGTGTGTCCTCCATATTAATAAAAGTTTGTTTGTTTTTGGTCTGTGTGCTGTAAAGCATGAATATTGGTCTTTTTTTGTTAATGCCTTGTTTTTAGCCCATAGTATATTCGATGCCTTAACAAAATAAGCTGTCCTGCTAACTTTTGTTTTTATTCTTGATCAAACATTGTTTTGTGGCTCCATTGAAGATGAAGCAGGACTATAACCAGTATTATTGACTTGTTCTAATTTCATATTCATGCCTCCCATATGTTCACAGCCCATCTCCTCGTCAGCATCGGACTTTGAAGCACCATATAGCTCTTGTCCTCTGTAACAGGTGCTGCTGATGATATGTGTGACTTTGCAGTACCTGCCATTTCAGAGGCAGTAGTTATGTCCAGGACTGGAGACTGTGGATGCAGACCACAGCCTTCAGAGTGAGCGTGCTGTGGTCTAGACCTCAAAGCAGAATTATAATTAGATTAGTGAATGCTGGGGAGGTATGATCAGCTGCAGTGGGGCTGGGGGGGGGCTGTCACTCAGATTTGCCTCCCATTGGACCCAATGGTGCCGACCAGAATGAAGCGCTTCCCCATTCTGTCACAGCAGAAGCTGGAGCTATGGGAACGATGTTGTCATCCTCTGGGTCCTGCAGTCCTCTGATCTCCCCGTCCCCTGCGTGGCTCAGTGTGCAGCCGGCTGCGCTGTCCCCTGCGTGGCTCAGTGTGCAGCCGGCTGCTCCGTCCTCTGTGTGGCTCAGTGTGCAGCCGGCTGCTCCGTCCCCTCCGTGGCTCAGTGTGCAGCCGGCTGCTCCGTCCCCTCCGTGGCTCAGTGTGCAACCGGCTGCTTTGTCCCCTGCGTGGCTCAGTGTGCAGCCGGCTGCTCCGTCCCCTCCGTGGCTCAGTGTGCAGCCGGCTGCTCCGTGGCTCAGTGTGCAGTCGGCTTCGTGAACTGCTGGGTGTACAAATGCATGTGTTAGTGTCCTAGAAAATACTTAATGTAATGTTGTGGAGGGTGATGGAAAGGGACATTTGTTATATACTCTATATACAGTAGGTAATGTAAAAATCATTTATACCTGCTTTCTTGTTACTACTTGGGTATTCACATGTTGCTATGCCTCTTTCGATACTCCGTGCAGAGCTTGTTTGAGGAGCCCGTGTAAAGGCTGCAGAGCCTTCATGCCACAAGCCGTGTGAGAGATTTGCTGCAGAAACTGGGGCTCTTCCATCAGATGGGCTGTGCTTCTAGCTGACTCCAGGGGCAGACATTTGTGCAGCAGATGTATACTGGGCATCATGTTCCTGGTGATTAAGGGCATGCTGGTCATCATGTTCCTGGTGATTAAGGGCATGGCTTTCGGAGAGGCAATGCCTTGGAACCCGTGTTGGGGGGGGTATGGTCACGCTCTGCAAGTCGCCGTCTGTTTAAACTCGCTTCCTGTTGGTTACTTTGGGGCAAACACTGACGCTGCACCATCAGTCCTACCAACCAAGGGTTTTAAAGCCGCATTTCTCCTTTCACCGCTCATAACCTGAATGTTACTTCCAGCTCTTACAGAATCCAACTATTGTGTATCACAGCAACACACTTGCTGTGATGCACAATATCACAGCATGTATGCAACATTAAAAGTCGCTTTGGGGAAAGAAGAGGGAGCTAATCGATGGTAAACGTTCTGTGTTGTCTTGCCTTGAGCCCATTTGCTGTTGTCATAACCAGTCATGCTTCCAGTCAGTGAAGCTGACTGTTAAAACCTCAGAGGACCATATCAAACATGCTGCTCAGCAGACGTTCAGTAATCAGCAGGACCCAGCCATGTTCCGTATGTTGTGGTGGATCCAAAAGAAGGTTTAATACAGAATGTCACCGTTGCCTCCCATTTCTTACAGGCTACTCCTGAGATGTGAACCATATGCTTCACTGTCCATCTGTACCCTCAGTTTTTTCTTTTTGCCACGCTTGGAGGGGACAGTAATCCTCTGAAGTCAAAATTAGCGTTTCAACCACAGTCTTTGTGAAGTATGACCTTTCACTGGTTAGCTTGCTTGTGGGAGACGTTTCTCCCTGTTCATGCATGGGGAAAAAATGTGGAATAAATTTAATAGGGCAGATTTGTTTTGGAAAAGCCTTGCATTTGAAAATGACTCCTGCTGTCTTTGTGGAATGACGTGGATTTTGCTCTTCCCATAATAGCAAGGTGCTCGTTTGAGGAAGTTAAACCAACATTTTGTATTGTTTGTGTTATGATGCCTTTAGACCAGGGTTCTTCAAAACTGGACCTCGATTCCAAATCCAGGCCTTGTTTTCAGTTCTCCCAGGTAGTTAGTTTAATAATTACTGATTCTGATTGGTCAGAGGCTTCACACCTGACTGACAGGTAAGGAAGGCTGGAAAACCAGCAGTGCTCGGACCTGGAGGACCGTGAGTTGAATAACCCTGCTTTAGACGAATATCTAGCAGTCCTTGGACCGTAAAAGTTTTGAAATTTCAAATCTTGCTTTGGTTATAAAAATAACTATATAAATCAGAAGCCCATTTGGTTTATGCTATGGAATAGAGGTATGTCTGTCTGCCCAAACCACATCCTCCATCACGCACTGGTTCATGTGCCCTACGTCATTTTCACACCAGGCTGACCTCTTAATCGACACGCCAGTTACAGTATTGTGCTGTGTTAATCTGTCCCTCATACACTGTGTTGCGACTGTTAACATTTCACGAATGTCAGCTCTGCACCTGTCCGCCATGGCTTCCTGACCTTTGAACCCTGCCATTGTTCAGCACACAGATGCTGTCCCATCCTCTGCTCCCATAATCCCTGTGATCCCCGTCTCTCCAGTCCTAGCCGAGACCACAGTCACCACCACTCCCGCAACACAGGTTCATTTTTTATTTTTGATTTTATTATTCATTGAATTCATTCACATGTTTTTTTTCTGTCATTCTTTCTCCTGTCTTCCGCTTCCATTGATGCTTTAGTAGGGTAACAGATTAGAGTAGCAGCAGCTCTTTGTGTTACTGATGGGGATACATTAATGCAGCCATAATACACCACTGTTACATTAATTTGGGTTTCTGTTGGGTGTCAGTGTTTCATGTGGAGCAGAAAGGTCCTTTGTGTCTGTCTGTCCACGTTAATCCCTGATGACTGCTCTCTGTATCGTTCTAGAACGCACAGAGCAGACACATACACTGTAACTATTTTTCTTTATATTGAACTATTCTGCTGTCTTTTGGTGAACTGCCTACCCAATATGGCATTATCCGTATACCGTTTCAATGCAGATGTCTTAGAATTCTCTATCCCAGGTGTAGTTCACCTGTTTTTGTCCACATGTAACCTGTATTTTCCCTTCATTCCTAGGTTAATCCACCCCCCGTTGTGGTGAGCACAGACATTTTGGACACTCCGCCATACGTAAGTTGGTGGATTTTTCCTGCTGCATGCATTTGTATCCTGCAAAATAAACTTGTCACTTTTCAGTTTTGTTTCAGATATGTCAGGGTGGAACTGGGTTATCTTTATGCTACAGCATTTTATAATACCTAACAGTAATGATACAGATGACATGGAAATTGCACTGCCCGTCCAAAAAAAAGGTCACTTGAATTTATATCAGCAAATACTTAAAAGCCAATGACTGGATCATTATTACAGTCCTGCAATGTTATGCAGCAATAAAGTAAAGTCAGCTGAGTACCTGAATCTACTGAATGGCCAGGTTAGATCTCCATCCATCATCAATGGATTTTTTCTTCCCTGTTGGCGTGAGCATATTCCAGGACAAGAATGCCAAGATTCACTGGGTTTGAATTGTCAAAGAGTGGTTCAGGGAGCATGAGGAATCATTTTCACGCGTGACTTGGTCACCACAGAGTTGTGACCTTAACCTCATTGAAGGTCTCTGGGACGTGCTGAAGGAGGCTTTATGGAGTGGTTCAACTCACTTGTCAATACAGGACCTCGGTGAGAAATGAATGCAAATCTGGATTAAAATAAAGGGTGAGATGTTGCATAAGCCTGTGGAAACAATGCCATGACAAATATGCGCCATAATCAAAGCTAAAGGCGGCCCAACAAAAAATTCAAATGGCGACTTTTTTTTTGGGCGGGCAGTGTATTTCAGAAATATATGACAGCAGTTTTTATTTCAAAAATTCTGCTGAAGCCTTGTTGCACTATATAAATTAAAAATATATAGTAATATTAAAAAACAATTCAACCTTCTTCTTTTCATTTAAAAAGAAACTTGCTTCAGTTGTTTGTCTAGTTGTTGCAGAATCCTGTATAGGGCCCTGTGCTGTCCACGTGCTCTCCCTATGCTGTCCACGTGCTCTCCCTATGCTGTCCACGTGCTCTCCCTATGCTGTCCATGTGCCCTCCCTATGCTGTCCACGTGCTCTCCCTGTGCTGTCCACGTACTCTTCCTGTGCTGTCCACGTGCCCTCCCTGCGCTGTCCACGTGCTCTCCCTGTGCTGTCCACGTGCTCTCCCTGCGCTGTCCACGTGCTCTCCCTGCGCTGTCCACGTGCCCTCCCTGCGCTGTCCACGTGCCCTCCCTGTGCTGTCCACGTGCTCTTCCTCTGCTGTCCACGTGCTTTCCCTGTGCTGTCCACGTGCTTTCCCTGTGCTGTCCACGTGCCCTCCCTGTGCTGTCCACGTGCTTCCCTATGCTGTCCACGTGCTCTCCCTGCGCTGTCCACGTGCTCTCCCTGCGCTGTCCACGTGCTCTTCCTGCGCTGTCCACGTGCTTTCCCTGTGCTGTCCACGTGTTTTCCCTGTGCTGTCCACGTGCTTTCCCTGTGCTGTCCACGTGTTTTCCCTGTGCTGTCCACGTGCCCTCCATGTGCGGTTTGATAAATTGAGCAGTGCCAGAGCCTGTGTCGGTGGCCTGGTGACAGTCGCCCATTAGCTGTCATTAGTGCAGCAGGCCTCTCTCTGCATTCCCCGAGTGTGAGGAAGCTCAGCGGCTGGACACTGTGGGATTATGGCTTTGGTGCGGCGCTGGTGTGTGTGACAGTCAGAGCTGGCTGCCCAGACCACAGCGGTGTGTGAGAAGCAAGCAGAGCACCAGCTGTAGTCCATTTCTCAGTAGAATTAACTTTGCTCTGTCCAAAGGCCTAGTTGAGTGTGAAACGGCTTCTGTTAGCCGTCCTTCCAAAAGGACAGGTAGTGCTAGTCAATTCATTGAAAATTATTCAAAACCGACGTTTAGACCCTGTAATCGACATAATCATGCATATGCCGGTTACTTTGTTGTTTTTCTAATTCTGTTAATAGTTTCCCCTGTGTGTGTTCATGTACTGTCCCCTTAGAAACGCACTACCACGTGTGTCGTCACGTGACTCCGCCCCATCCAGTTTGTGACTGGAAGTGACACGGAGGCGAACTCCTACCCCGAGCCCAATGAGCAACTCGAACAGCTTGTATTAGAGAAAAATGCCGTATCCGTCGTTTGGACACATTGTGGCTTTAGTGTAGAAGACACCATACAAATCTAAACGCTGCAGAAATATAGTTTCACCTACCAAAGGTAATTCAACTAATCGGATTCAGCACCGGCAATATTTAAAACTGTTGAAACAGTTGAAACTTATAGTGATCACGGTTATATTGGTCAACCACTTATATGGATCAAAAAGCTTGGGACAGAATAATTCCTGTACAAACACTGCATTAATAATTCGCTTTGAGCATATTTACAGTACAAACCTTGTCAATGAAATATGAGAGCAAAAAAGCAAAAAAAAACAAGAACAAAAGAATTGTTCATTAATTGTAATGGAGATAAAATATTGAGTTAATTGTGATATTGATTTGAGGGCATATTGCCCAGCCCTAAGGACAGGTGCTGTGTGTAAATTAGACTATAGCTGAGGTATCTGCTAATGAGACTTGATGGTGGATGTGTCATTAAAGTGAAAGCTTAAAATGTTGCTGAGTTTAATCCTGTATAAAGTGATGTTGATCCTGCCAACATTTGGACTGTGTGACATCTGGTATTACCGGACTCACTTGCTGCCGCTGAAGTATCCTGTCTGGAGGTTATGGACAAGGGCCTGTTCTTCATTGGATCAAATGATGAATGTGTGGATCCAGGCTTGTAGCTCTGGGTTGTGCTCCACGGAGCAGAATTTCTTGCTTAGCCAGATACCTTGTTGGATTTAAGGTAGTCTGGGCTAAATGGACTTTGTTCAATTACATATAAAAATTTCTTCTTCCTGCTCCTTTTCACTCATGGGTGCAGTGTTATATCAAGGGAAATCACGGTTTGTGTGTATGAAAAGATAAACTGTTGGAACTGTTGAACCAAGTGTGAAATAAATAAATAATACTAATATAGCTCCAGACTACCTTAAATCCGAAAAGTTATCCGACCAAGCAAGAAACCCTGCTTCGTGGGACAGCCCCCAGATCATTATGCTGTCATTTCTTTAGCTGCCAGTCAGAGATGTGACTGGTTTTTGTCCCCAGTCACTGAAGACGACCTATTTGAAAAAGATATGCTTGTGTGTGTTGTACCAAGGACAAAGCACATCAACTGGGTGTTTCCTACGCCTAATTAGGAAACGTAAATAGTCTCTAATCCGATCAACAAGTGACAGCTGGGGACCGCTTTGCTAAGGAAACTTCTCATCTAGCATCACAGGTGCTGGGGCAGCTTGTTGGTCAAACGCATGGGGGCCGTACTGCCGGTTCCAAGAGTCAAACATCAGCGTCCTGCTTCCTCCATTATGGGCGCATTCATGCACCTGTGCCAGAATGAGCTTATTACTGTGTTTGGACCTGTGGTATTTTAGTCATGCTGTCTGTACACTTTTGCCTTGGAGAATAATTAATTTGTAGAATAGATTTACATGTATTTCGGTGGTTATTGGTGAAAGCAGCAGGTCGGCGCTTTCAGAGAAAAGGGCCACACTGATACTGCTGAGGACAGGTAGGCAGAGGTGGCAATTTCAGGTCCAGAAAGTGAAAATCCGGACCATGATTTACTTTCAACCAACCAGTTGAGCATAAACAGTCACAGTCACAGAGTACTCAACTGGTTGGTTGAAACAAAATCTTGGTCTGGATTTGTACTTTCAGGACCTGAAAGTTCCACCTCTGCAGGTAGGTGTCTTCATGACGCTCCTAAGACCATCCATTTGCATTTAAAACAGAAAGAAAACATTTTCAGATTGTGAGGCATGTTACCTCTTTGAATGTCATGCTACCTGGTCTGCTTCCTGTAACTAACAAAATTTTAGTTTTTGTTATAAGGAATCCTGAATACTGCTTTTTCTCTGCACAGTCCCTGCAATACACAATGTAAGCTTTACAAGATCACATTTTTTTCCTAATTGATTCTTGATTTTTTTTCCCTTCTTGATTGGCAAATGTTTTCAGGCCTAATTCAGAAAGTCATGGGAGTCTTGAACTGCTCCAATGGTCTCTGGTGGTAACAAACAGTACCAGCGTGTACTGGATGCAGGGTGTATAAGATGGATGACTGCGGTTTAGCAATCCCTTTTTTGCATGTAGGTTACTTCTCAGTACCTGTTTCCCTATCCTGTTCCTATTCCTTAATTGATTAAGGAAGGTCAGTTGTGTAGATCATGTCGATGCCTTGGTCGATGGTTTTGAACAGCTGTCCAGTGTGGGTTTAAAGTATAACACAGAAGCACTGCTGTCAGTATAATGTGTATCTCCTGGGAGTTAATTCATTGTTACAGGGTGACAGACAGACTGCCCATCATTTTGTGCGGCATACTTTTGCTGTTTTATAATTGTTTAATTGTATTGATTTTTATGTTAGTATTTTATATTCCTGTGATCCACATTCCTGTATGTGATAAAGTACATGTTCATATTTTTACTTAAACTTATTTAATCTGGAAAACAACTATTAGTTTTAGTAGCTGGCAAGTACAAACCAAGCATGAATTTAAGCCAAAAACCTTCTGTAAAATGATTAAACTTAAGGTATGTCATTTGGAGAGGGACATTTCATTGTAACACTATTGAAATTTTCAATTAACTTGTGTTGCTGCTGTGTTTTCAAAACCAACACTTCACAAATTGTGAAGTTGCGTTACATTTCAGATCACCTGAGTGGCAGCCGAGACTAGGGATGTGCGATTTGATGATAATAGACCGTAAACAGTTAAAATATCTCCACAAACTGCCTTTACGGTGAGGTCGTTAGTATCATTCTATCAGTTGCAGTTCTATGGCTCATGCACGCATCTGAAGTTGTTTTGTCAGCCGAATCCGTTTCAGCTCACCAGTAACCCAGTGACAGCAAACCGTAGGTAGTGCCTTGGATCTCTTCCTCTCTAACCCGTGTCCCAACATACAATGTGAAACACGCAGCACGTTTCCTGTTTGGTAGCATAGCAGCATGGACGACGTAGAGGAGGTGCCTAAATGTACTTGAGTACATTTATCTTTTAGTTTTATTACCTCTTAGGGCTATATTTTTAAAATAGGGGAATTAGTTTGGTTGTACTTCTAAGTAACTTGCAAAATAGTCTTAAAAGCTAACATGGAAAAGAATTGTGATAAGATCGTGGATCCTGATCCTGTCTGAAAAACATCATGATATAATATTTTTGCCATATCGCCCACCTGTAGCCTAGACGTTTTCGCTTGCCGCTGACCATACAGTAGTGAGCAGCACACTCTCGGGAATCATCATCCCCATGAAGAGGGACGCACACTGTGGCCTGCTGCCATCCCCCCACACGGGCATGCCCAGCCTGAGGCACCACGCTAAGACTGGCACCATCTCAGCTGCCCGCAGCTGCAGTCCGTTGACCCGTTAGAAATGGACATTCTGGGAGCTTTGAGGCGCACAGAGCCTCAAAGCAAGGAGACTTCAGAGAGTCTTCAGGGTTTAGCTGCGCAGGGCGATGCGGTGATGTGAGGAGCTGGGGTGTGATGTGAGGAGCTGGGGTGTGATGTGAGGGGCTGGGGTGTGATGTGAGGGGCTGGGGTGTGATGTGAGGAGCTGGGGTGTGATGTGAGGAGCTGGGGTGTGATGTGAGGGGTTGGTGTGTGATGTGAGGGGTTGGGGTGTGATGTGAGGAGCTGGTGTGTGATGTGAGGGGTTGGGGTGTGATGTGAGGAGCTGGGGTGTGATGTGAGGGGTTGGGGTGTGATGTGAGGAGCTGGGGTGTGATGTGAGGGGTTGGGGTGTGATGTGAGGGGCTGGGGTGTGATGTGAGGAGCTGGGGTTAGCGAGGATGGCTACTATGCGATTTCTCTTCTGTGCTGTTCCTTGTGTCCCTTCAGTTATAGGCAGACTGATAATTCAGCACCGGTTTGCATGTATGAATATTAATGATTTAAGCTCCAATTTAAGGTTCTCTAATTTGTCTTCATTTTAATGCCGATTGTGGCTGTTGATCAAATGCATGTGGTCATAAACGCTGTGAACAACGCAAGCCATGTGGATTTTCTTTGTTTTTTTTTCTTTCCTCGACCTCAGGTCCATGATATGACGTAATTGTTGTGGGCTTGGAGTGCTCCTGATGAGATGATGGTGCAGGGTTCCGTTCGACAGGGCTACAGAGCCCCCAGCACCACAGCTGAAATGTCTTCCCTCCTTGCCAGTGCTTGAAACCACCTCGTTCATTTCATTGACAGAACCCTAATAGGATTATGCTGAAAGTTTTTTTTTTTTAAATTCAATTTAACCGGAAAGGTCTAAGCAATTAAATTCTGGGCAGCCAGATGAAGGAGAGAGTCTTTGATGTGGACTCAGGAAGCTCTCCAGATACATTTTTGCACATGTGAGGGTGAGTTGTCTTTGTGGGAGAGTCGTGTGCCACTTCAGCCGCGAATCAGCACTCATTTGCCTACGATGAAGTTGTTGTTATTGCAGTCAAGTGACACATATTGCTGAAACGCTTAATGACCAACTGAAATCTCTCTTCACTGCGCATCTGAAGGCCGATGATGCATGGAGAGGGAGAGAGGACAGTGACAGCCACCCGTAATCACCTCAGAGCATAGTGGCTAATTTGTGCTGTTTGATGATAGAGGAAATTCCGTTTAGGCCACTGAACAGGCTTCCATTCATACAAGGAAGCAAAGGCATGCAGGGTGCACTTTTCCTGGAGTGTCTCCATCGCCGCTCTGCTGGTCAGCCATGTGCACGTTCCTGCCTCCCTGCCGTATGTCCCCCACATGTCACGGCGGCCTTGCAGCGGGCCCCTTTCGCCCGGCTCCTTCTGTGCTTTGGTTCCACGCGTCTTTTGGTTCCTTTGCCTTATCAGTAAGTCATTAGGGCTGTTTTTTTTAGTTTTGGGACAGAGAAGAAGATACGGCTTTATGAATTGTGTTTACATATATTCATCTGAACAGATCTCCCGTTTTTTTAAATCAGAGGGCTGTAATTTTGAAGCAGCGGGACAGTGACATCATCTCCAGGGTCATGGTTTCGATTCCACCCTCTGGTTCTGTGTGTGGAGTCTGCATGTTCTCCTGTGTTTACTTGTGAGTGTTGGTTTTCTGCTGTACTGGCCAGGGTAATTGGCATCTGTGTTGTGGTGTGTGTGTGTATCTGTGTGTCTGTGTGTGTATCTCAGTTTGTCTGTGTATGTGTGTGTGTGTGTGCTTGTGTATCTGTGTGTGCCTGTCTGTGTGTGTGTATCTGTGTGTCTGTGTGTGTATCTCAGTTTGTCTGTGTATGTGTGTGTGTGTGTGCTTGTGTATCTGTGTGTGCCTGTCTGTGTGTGTGTATCTGTGTGTCTGTGTGTGTATCTCAGTTTGTCTGTGTATGTGTGTGTGTGTGTGCTTGTGTATCTGTGTGTGCCTGTCTGTGTGTGTGTATCTGTGTGTGTATCTGAGTGCGTTTCTGTGTGTGTGTGTGGGTGTGTGTGTATCTGTCTGTGTGTGTAACAACAGTGTGATTTATACCCATTTTTTTGACAGACGCACATAAGGGGAAACTATAAAATTTTCCAGAATTATGTGACTACAATCAAAAAAATAAAAATGCAAAAACTCGTTCAGTGGTACCTTGGAACACGAACTTAATTCGTTCCAGAAGGCTGGTTGAGTTGCGATTTGGTCGAGGTCGAAGTCAAGTTCGAAGTCAAGTAGAGCTGAACGCATCTCGAACCATTCAAGTTTTAGCAGGAACAGTCAAATTCCAAGATTTTGGTCGGAAAAAAATCAACAGACCCGTTCGATGTCCGAGTTGGTCAAGTTAAGAGGCATTCAAGTTCCAAGGTGCTACTGTATTTTGATAGGTTACTTATGGTTATGGTAAGGGTTGGGTAGGGGTATGGTTGTCATAGTTAGTATTAGCACTTTTCCCATAGAAATGAATGAGCAGTCCCTACAAAGATATGGTTACAGGTCTGCGTGTGTGCGTGCTCTCCCTGCAGTGCACTTGCGTGCCTTGCAGGTGTCCCTTGCAGTGTGTCGTGTGTGCGTGCTCTCCCTGCAGTGCACTTGCGTGCCTTGCAGGTGTTCCTTGCAGTGTGCCATCTGCCCCCTGGGATAGGCTAAATGCTCACCACCCCCCTGTCCTGGATAAGGGGTTAGAAGAAGGGGAGATAGATAAACAGCTATATAAACATAATCATGGCGTTTAAAACTGCAATTATTTCTTGGGCATTTACAAAAGCAGCAGCATCCAGTTGTGTGTACAGGTTGAAATGCACGGCCTGGCCCCGTGCTGGCCGAGCCTCCTGATTGGCCACCCTTTGTTTGTTACTCCCTATGGGGAGCAGAAGGAGCTCTGGGCTTTAAGTGCCACCACACAGGACCTGGGACTGGGGCAGGGACGGGGGTAGGGGGGGCTCATGGGAACCAGGCCGCCATAGCAGCTCTGTGGGCATGACTGGTAATGCAGCTGCTGGGCTGATTTCAAGCCATTATAGCACCGTGGCCTGAACAGCCAGGGACTTGACCCTGTTCTTGTCCTATTTGAAACCATTGAGGTTAATCCCTGCTGGCCCCGTTCCAGTCCAGGTCTGACAAGACCCACTTTCCTGCATCCCACACTCCTGTGCTTAGCGTGAGCCCCTGGAGCGCGTCGTCACGCTAAAGCGACACGCCGTCGCGCTAAAACAACACGCAGCCACATTCAGCCGCCCCACTCTTCTTGATGGAGACGTCGCCGCTGCGGCTGATTGGATGCTTACAGCCCGTCCATCGTTCGCGGTGCCCGAGCGTAACCCGGACGTGGAGATCTGGCCGTCTCCTCGCAGTGTGCTGGGAAACAGTCTTCCGTGGCCAACGCGATGGTTCAAGGGTGGACTGCAGGTCTGGCTCCCAGGTGGAGCTCATGATGTACACCCTTGAGCGAGGTACTTAACCTGAATTCCTTCTGTAAGGACATCCAGCTTTGTCATTGGGTAAAAACAAACAAATAAATGATAGATCTCTGGGTCTCTCCGGACAGCAATGCCTGTTGTGCAGAAATAAAACAGTAATAGTCACCATGGCTCATTCAGCAGGCAAGTAGGCTGGATCTAAGAGGCTCAGTGTGGTGTTTCGTCCGCGACGAGGGAGCAGGCTGAGCTGCCCCTGCTTACCTCTCTGTCCTTGATCTCGCTTGTAGCTAAAGCTTGTTAATGATAATGGTGTCTCTGTAGCGTCTCGCCAAAACCTGAACCGAGCAAAGGAGGGTCGAAGGATCTGAATGGATCTCCGAGCCGCGGTGCAGTCGGCGTGTCCCGTTCTCCCGAAGCCATGCGTGAGGGTGTCGTCAGAGGCGTCCAGAGCCACATCGAGATGCATCTGTCGCTCATGCATCGTCTCTTGTTTTCCCAGGTTAACGGGACCGAGGCGGACTTTGAATATGAAGAGATCACGCTTGAGCGGGTAGGAGAACAGGTGCCGTAACTCTCTGGTGCATATTGAAAAAATGAAGTACTGTAGATGGTGGTGAAGGAATTGAAATCCCAATGGATATGGAAACAAAAATCTCTGATTGTTTAAATGGACCTTCAAATGTATCCTTCTGTAAGTGATCCTGATGTGTAGTTTAGTTGCAATGAAATTCACCATCTTTATTTGTTGATTTAGGTGACTGCGAGTCAAAGGTGTAGATTAGAGAATACACTAACTGTAACATCTGTTGCCATCTGTTAAAAACGTTATTGTCAGTTACACAATTTAGATTGATGCCCTCTCAGTTAGCGTTTTTTGTTGTTAAACCATATTTCAAACTTTTTTGTGCATAGTTTATAATTGCATGCGCACACGTGTTTTTATAGAACATAGACACATCAGTATAGTCAAGTTCTCGCAGGCTTGTAGCTGCGTTTTCTCTTAAACATGAGGCACATGTTGGTCCAGGTGTAATGCAGTGTTTATGCCTGCATGTATAATACAGGTATGTGTTCTCTTTGGCAGATTACTTAATACATCAGAGGAAAGTTGTTTGTATTCAAAGGACAACTTGCAACATGCGTCAGTGTTAAGGGGCTCAGCAGTGGAATAAGTTAAGGCGCGAGGAATGTAATAAAAACAAATCGCTCCCAACAACTGAACACACATTACCATGAAGAAAGACAAAACCATTCACAGCACATATGAGCCCCCCCTCAATTTCAGTCTTCAGTTAATGCAGCATCTCTGCAATGTACCTAATTAAAAAATGAATGTAAAGGGGTTGCTTTAAAGCTGGCCTTATCTGCCAAATAAAACTGGAGGGGTTTAGTACAGTAAGCCTTTAGCAGTGAGGCCACTTTTTGATTTTGCTCATGGAGTTTCACTTACACAAAGAAAGAAAAATGATTGGTTCAGATTGATAACCAATCAGATTGTACAGGAGGTGGGTCCAAGAAATTAGAGGAGGCGGAACCAATCAATCAGGTGTCTTCCCCCTCAAGTCGCTTGGATCCATCTCCTCAACAGTCTGATTGGCTGTCTCTCTGAACCAGTCATTTTTCTTTCTGACTGCCATGTCTTCCCATTCATTTTCCCACACTGGCTCAGGCTCTGTTGATAGCGCCTGTATGCGTGATGTCACCTGCTGGTGAAATATGCAAACATGAGTAGATTTGGTTTGACTTGTGTGATACGCCAGTCTGAGTCAGCGACGCCTGTCCACGCCGTTTGTCCCCTTAAAACTTCGCTATGGCGAGAGCAGAGTGGGCATGGTCCCGTTTGCCAGCTGATGGTGAGGTGCTGCAGGAGCTTGTCTGTGAGCAGCAGTGCCCGCAGGCCTCCTCGCTGTTCTGCTCTGACCTTATTCCGCTCTCTAGTGCACATTATTAATAGCGTCTTTCCTTCTTAATTCCCCCCTATTTGCTGGTGTACTTTGTTTTTTTTTGGAGTGCAAAGCCTGCCTTTCTGTGGTACACCATTTCATTTCCGCTACATAATATCCCTAAAAGGATATAGGCTGTAATTTCTGACATGGCTGGTATCTTTGTGCCTTATCTGGACATACTTATATGTGTCAGCCTCCTGTGTCAATGTTAGCCTTAATTTAAAGCTGCCTTCTTTATTATTATTATTATTATTATAATTTAAATAGTTATTCATATCTCTAACTATACCTGGGTAACTGAGCTGGATCTCATGCACATTGTATATACTGAGGTTTCAGTCTGGCTGCTCGATCAATGCCCAGTTACAAGTGTAAGCAGTATTGGAGGAGGAGGCAACAAGAGCCTAATAAGACTAATATTCAATGAGAATGAAGTGCAACATCAGGAACATCAGGAACATTCAGGGAACTCGGAGATGCATCAGGCCTGTAGAGGTATTTCTGGATCAGATGGGTCTTGAAGTGTTTCTTGAAGGTGGTCAGGGAGTCTGATGGCTGGACGCGATTCGGCAGCCCGTTCTATCACCGGGGAACCTCAGAAGGAAGTCTTCCGGAGTGACTCTTCTCCTTTTCTAAAGGGGCTGAACAGATTTGAGTCCAGATTGGAGATGCATCTCTTCCTGTACTCGCCTTTGTCTTTCCTGCAGGATTTTTTGCGTTTGCTACACATTTGTATTTATGTGCCAGTTTGCTGAACAGGTGTTTCCCTCGTTGACATGCGCGAATGTGTGTGCATGGCATGCGGCCATCTTTGCTAACAGGGCAATTCAGGCCTGGGCTTCAGCATCGCGGGAGGCACGGATAACCCCCACATCGGCGATGATCCTAGCATCTTCATCACCAAAATCATCCCCGGCGGTGCAGCCGCTCAGGATGGCCGTCTCCGGTGAGTGCCCGCCCCCAGTGAGTGCCCACCCCCGGTCAGTGCCCGCCCCCGGTCAGTGCCCGCCCCCAGTGAGTGCCCGCCCCCGGTCAGTGCCCGCCCCCAGTGAGTGCCTGTCCCCGGTCAGTGCCCGTCCCCGGTCAGTGCCCACCCTGGTCAGTGCCCGCCCCAGGTCAGTGCCCACCCCTGGTCAGTGCCCGTCCCCAGTGAGTGCCCGCCTCCAGCATCTGCTTCATATGGGGCTCAGCCACACCGTGTTGACTGTAGCTGAACCTGGCCATGAATCCAAAGCTACTGTAATGCTGGCACCTTGTGTGCAGTGAGATAATGGTAACAGTGGTGCAGGGTCAGCTACAGCTTTAAGAGAAGAGATTCCTAAGAGCGACGGTAGTGAGCGAATGCTGCAATTTACCGACACGTCCTTCTTGTGCAGGAGGCCTATATTCATTCTGGTCCCCCATCTATTTCCGATTTATAATCTTCTCTCTTGATTCTTTGTTTCTTTCCTTGACCAGCTGCATTCTCACAAACTCTGCAGCACTTAGCGTAGTGAATAACGACACTGACCTGCTGCTTTCTGACCCAAATACCTCAAGCGCGCCTGCTGTAGTACCTTGGAGAAGGATACTTAACCCTTAAGTGTAACTATTGTCGATTTGTCAGTTTGGTTAAGATGTCACCTGGCCACTAATGGTTCATAATAAGTGGCTTCTCAGTGTTACAGGAACAGCTGAGGCCCCTTGTTAGCCCAGTATCAATGTGCTCATGTTCAGTGTTGATGTTCAGTGTTGATCCATACAATGTTCATGCGTTCCATGCTGCTGCAGAGTGAATGACTGCATCCTGAGAGTGAATGATGCAGACGTGCGGGACGTCACTCACAGCAAAGCGGTGGAGGCCCTGAAGGAAGCCGGCTGCATCGTCAGGCTTTACGTCCGCAGGAGGAAACCGGTCACCGAGAAAATAGTGGAAATCAAGCTGGTTAAAGGCCCTAAAGGTAGGACTTCCTGCCTCCGCAGCCCGGAGAGGAGGCCCTGCCAATCAGAGCTTTCCGTTCAACATGGTTGTCATATACAGAACGATCTTGGCTTCAGCTAAAGCCAAACCGAGGCTGGCTTCACTCTTCTCGTCTGCAGGGGTCAGCTGGCAGGGGCTCAGCCTATGGAAGCGACCGTATCTTTGTTATCTAATTATCATATTTACATGGATGGCAATTTCCGTTCTAGCTGTAACACTGCCATTTTCTTTGTTGGTTTGGAAATTGAGCAGTTAGATGATCCAATTTAAGCAATAATTAATGCTTTTAATAACATTTTCCTATTTCTGAATAATTTGAAACTGCTTTAATTTGCAGACCATTCTTGTGCAATCTGAGGATGAAAAATCGGCAGTAGCAAACATACTCTCATGTGTAGTTTATCTTGGGATTTTATTCCAAACTGAATTTTAAGGCTTTGGGAAAATATCAAATGTCCCACTAGACAATTTGTAAACCGTTCTATATGTTTTGTGTTCAGCTCCACGTTAAAAAAAAACAAGTAAACAAACTTTTTAGGTTTTTAAGAAGGCCATCTGGACAGATGTGGAGTCCTGTGCCTTTTATTTTATGCATCTTAAATATATTCATTTTTCTTTATTAATATTGCAAGTGTAATTTTGTCTCATGCCTAGGAAAATGTAATCAATTCATGGAAACTCATTAAAAAATTATATGCATGAATTGTCTTGCCAGAAAAACAGGAATCAGTTATTAGGTCAGAGGACGTAAACACAGATGTTGTGTGTGTGTGTGTGTGTGTGTGTGTGTGTATGTATGTGTAATCTAGACATGGTTAAATTTTGTCGTTCTCTCAGTTATAATGTACTGCAGTCAGATGGCTGTAAAGAATGATGTGATCCTGCGGTGGGGGGGGGGTTAGGGAAAGGCCATAAAGAAGAGAAGTAACAGTCTTTTTCACCCCACCAGTGTCTCGAGAGAGAGGCCTGGGCAAAAACAGCCTGTCTCTAATGTTTGTTTCCCTTCCCAGCAGAAGGAGACTGTGATCTCATGTGTCCCAAGGCTTTCCGGCAAACCGGTGCCATGGGGGGGAGGGGGGGTCTCACTTTTCCAGTCAGATTTGTGCCTGTTCTCTCTCCTGGGGAGGGAAGGTGTTAATGAGTCGGGCGTCATACAAAAACATGGTTAACGCAGTCGGAGCGCATCTGATGCCTGTGCTGCCCTCTCTCCCCCCTCCCTCCTCTGTCCATCCCCCCCCCCCCAGGCCTTGGATTCAGCATAGCGGGCGGTGTAGGGAATCAGCACATTCCAGGAGACAACAGCATCTATGTCACTAAGATCATTGAAGGCGGTGCCGCACACAAGGACGGCAAGCTGCAGATAGGGGACAAGCTGCTGGCTGTGAGTACCGCTTAGCCATGTCCTCCTCACCGGCAACATGCTTCTCCTTAGTGCACCGTGATTCTATACCGCCTCCAAGGCCTCAGTGTTACCCATCATGCAGTGAACAGGTCTTTGGTTTATATGTCTTTCTGTGTATGCCTGTCTCTGTAGGTGAACAGGTCTTTGGTGTATATGTCTTTCTGTGTATGCCTGTC